AGACCTTTAATTAGCGTCAAAACGCGGGAAAATGGGAGTTTCTGACGGGGCCGAGTTCACAACCTGAGAGAAACTGCCCAGTGCTGTTCTCTAGTGAGGGGTCCTGCGTCAGGGCAGGACGGCAGCTACACGGGACAGCGGTTACAAGCATTTGTGGCTGGCCTTACTGCCACTCCAGAAACTTCAGTCGCTGTGGAATTGCCCAGGCTGGGAGCTACTGACCTTGACGCCTCATTCCCACCACCTCTGAGCCCGCTGACCAAGCTGAGGAGACAAAGTAGGTGGAGAGGGAGGGTTTCGGAGGCGACAGGCAGGCTGCACGTTCATTTTCTCTGAGGCGTATTTATGTTTAAAGGTAGGGGACAAAACCCAACTGGATCACATTAACGAAAATTTTAAAACAGAGAAGCATCAGGACACCTGGGTGGCTCAGTCAGCCAAGCACCCAAATCTTGGTTTCAGCTCTGGTCATGATGTCACGGTTTGTGGGGTTGAGCCCCGTGACAGGCTCTGTGCCACTAACACGCAGCCCGTTTGGGATTCTCTCTCTCTCTCCCTCTCTCTTCTCAAAACAGATAAACTTAAAAAACAAAACAAAACAGAAATGCATCGATACTAATGCGATGTCCTACATTATTCACATGCACACCCTCTATGGATTCCTTATTTGCAAATTTCCCTACTCACTAAAATGCATCTGTAACCTCAAAACCGATGCTCAAAGAACTTTCATGGTCATTCACTGACATGCACAAAGTGACGAGTTTGAGTGACCCCACATCCGGGTTCCCAGCCAAGGCAAACCACAGAGAGTCTCTGCCTTCTTGTTTCAGCTCCATACTGTAAACAAATGGCCTCTTGCCAATCTATTTAGCGCAATGGTTTTTGTATTTGTGTGCTTCCTGTTGGTGATTTCACTGTTTAAAATAGCCCCCCGCCATAATGCTGCAAGTGTTCTCAAGAGCCAGGAAGCTGTGATGTGTCTTATAAGAAAAAGTACATGTGTTAGAAAAGCTTCATTAGGGCAGGGGCCATAGCACTGTTGGCCATGAGTTCTATGTTGATGAATCAACAATAGATATCAAATAAAGTGTCTTTAAACAGAAACACACATAAAATAAGAATAGGAATTCGTCAGTTGACAAAAATGCTATAAACAGAAGCTCACAGGAACCTAACCATGTATTTCTCCTAAGAACAATGGTCCTGTTCACTGAGTCAGTGTTTGAAGTGACTTTGTAGAACACTGCCATGAATATTGAGGACCAATTGTACTTAAAATTTCATTTCCTGGGGCACCTGGGTTGGCTCAGTCGGTTAAGCATCCGACTCTTGGTATCAGCTCAGGTCATGATCTCACGGCTCATGAGTTTGAGCCCCACATTGGGCTCCTCGCTGATAGCACAGAGTTGCTTGGGATTCCCTCTCTCCCTCTCTCTCTGCCCCACCTCCATGCTTGCTCTCTCTCTCTCTCGAAATAAATAAAAAAACTTTACAACGTTTATTTATTTTTGGGACAGAGAGAGACAGAGCATGAACGGGGGAGGGGCAGAGAGAGAGGGAGACACAGAATCGGAAACAGGCTCCAGACTCCGAGCCATCAGCCCAGAGCCTGACGCGGGGCTCGAACTCACGGACCGCGAGATCGTGACCTGGCTGAAGTCGGACGCCCAACCGACTGCGCCACCCAGGCGCCCCAATAAAAAAACTTTAAAAACTTCTCCTTTCCTGCTTGCTTCAGTTACTATTATAACAAAAATACTTGGCAACATGATCCTATAACAAGGCTTCTTTGTGTGAATAAACCATCTACTTAACCATTCCTTTATTGTTGGGCCTTGGGTTGTTTCCGATATTTCAACCTTATAGACAAAGCTGCAGACAGTATATGGTGTAGGCATTCCACAGGGACACTTATCCATCTTATCCTTGTCGGCATCCCCAGCACAAACCTCAGGGCTTGACATAGAGTTCATCTCAAATAAATGTTTGTTGAGTGAATGAATAATGTCAGGTTGAACAATGATGGTTAAAGACCATCAGTTCAAGATGGAAGTCTTAGCAGGTGCTCAATACATGCCTGTTGCCTGACATATTAACATCTGTTGATCACCCTGTATGTGTTTGTAGCTAACACCAGGCCTGGATTCTTACCCTCATCCTCCTGTTTAATCCATGCCACCTTCTGAGTTAAGTTTGATTAGCCCCATTGTATGTAGAGCCACACAGCTAAGTGGAGCCACCATCATGCTTCTAGCCCAGGTCTCAGTGACTCCCAATCCTCTGCTCTTTCTGCTTCACCACGCTGAAGACCTCGGTGTGTGCTGAGCTATGTGGGCACAGGTCTAGAGCCACGGGATCAGGGCGAGTGGATCAGTCAACCCTCTACAGGGCCCGCGGGACATCCAATGCCTGAGGCTCTGCCTTCTCCCCACTCCTTATAATTCTGCCACCTGAAGTCCTCCTTTCTCCCATAACCACACAGGCTGGACGTGGTGGGTGGCTGTCGCCATGCATCACTCCTGGGCCTTGCCCTCACAGAGGTACTTGGTGGGCACTCAGCCTTCAATGCTGGGGCCCATGTAAACTGAAACTCATACCTGACTTGCCCGTGCTGTGGGAATGGATGTGATGAGGCAAGCAAGGCAGAGCCTATTGGATTCCAGAAGCTTTTCAAGGTTGAGGTTTTGAACTCCTCTTTTGATTTGAGTGGGTCGGAGTTGGGAGTGGGATGGGGGCAATGTTGGGGCATTCCTTGATATTTATAAAAGATGAGGCAGAGATGGAAATAAGCTTTGTCCATTTGATCTGCATTTCAAAAATAGAGGGATCGCCTCAACTGGTAACTCCCCAGCCAGGGAAGGATGATGGGTATTAGGCATGAACCTTAAGGTTGGTAATTGTTAATAGAGTAACTCAGATATGGTGGCGAGTCCCAGGGCAGGGGTCAGAGGACTCTTGCAACTTCGGAGGCTCACCAGTTGATCCGTCAGTAACCTTTCCCATTTTACAAAACAGCTACACGCCATTCTGTTCTCTGTTTCACGAGGCTGTCAGGAAGGAAAAGACAAGATGGTGTTCCCTGTTCTGAGAATGTCTGTGCCTCTTAGCTGTTGGGGGCACTCCCACTCATCTGACTCGCAAGACCCAAGGCGAATGTTTTCCTTCTCTGAAGACTTCTTTGGTGGAACTCTCCCAAAGTAGCCACAACATCCCCTTTGTCATATAGCGCCCCACGTAGACTCATTGTACGCAACAAGCTGCCCTGAAAACACGGGCTTATTGTGTCTGTCTCTCCTGGAGGTAGAGACCATACCTAATCCACTGTCAGTCCCCAGCAACGTCTGCCACGTAGAAGGTGTTCTGCAAGCACTGAACGAATGAGTGGGAAAAGGCAGAGATCAGCATCTTCTTAAGAAGTTGCAGTATCTTTCTGCACGTTTCTTTAAGTGCCCTCAAAATCCACAGTGCTGTCTTGAAGCGTGGAGTCTTTGAAGGGGATGTCAATGCTAGTTTCTCCTACCATGCAGGAACCCTTTTTCAGCATCCCAGGAGAAGTAGTTGTTCCATATCTCCCCCGGACATCCCCAATGATTGTAAGCAGGGGGAATTATTCGTGAACCCTGCCTTTCTGTGGGTACTCTGACTTCTTCATTACCAAGGGCCCTGAGGTTCTGGAAGACGGGGAAACAATCACAGTTATAACAATCATGCTTTGTTGACGGAAACGTTCATTATACAGCTAACAGTGAGTACTGAGGTACCATGTACTCTTCTTGGTGCTTAATTCACTGAATCTTCATTCTACCCTCCACCAACCCTACAGAATGGTATGATTGTTATCTTCACTTCATAGACAGGAAATTTGAGGCCCAGAGAGGTAAAAAAAAAAAAAATAATAACTTGCCGAAGGCCACACAGTAAACTGCAGAGCTAGGGTCAGAACCCAGGTGATCTAGCTCTAGAACCCATACTCTAACTACCGACCTCTGCTTCTCCATAGAAGTGAGTGAACGATGTTTAGGGTGCACGGTGCACTTGGCATTACATCGGCCCTTTTCCATATATGAACTCTGTCATCACTGGGGACAATCCTGTGACTCAGACAAGCGAGTGTCCCCATGGAACAGGTAAAGCAACATTCCAGCCCCGACCCCCTATGATAAGTGTCACGCGTCCCGTAGGTTGGCTAGGACCACCCCACGAACATTGCCTTGGATAGAAGGAGACAGTGTCTCAGAAAACACTTCTTCCTGGCTACACAGAAATGTAGTTTCTATGAATTCATTTTGGACCTGTCAACATATACCGGGAACGTCCAAGGAGTCTCTTTTCTGCTCTTAGCCTCAGTTTTCTCATTTATGAAATTTGGAGACCAGACCAGGGCTCTAAGACCCTGTCCTACCCTGGCATCGGGCTCTGCTGCCCTGAGGTCTATGTGAGAAGAGAAGGGCAGGGGGAGATGGAGGGGAGGGAGGAGGTGGGTGGAGTTGGCAGTTACTGGAGAGGCAGCAGAGCCCCCAGGTCTTAGAAATGGGCAGAGGAGAAGAATCTACAAAGAGCGGTAAAAGCAAAAAGGGGAGAGAGATCCCACAATCTCCTGGCAACACCCTCAAGATTCTGTTCCCTACCCCCATTCAGTCTAGAACACACCCTTCCCACACCTTCTGATAGAAACTGGGCTAGGGGACGCCTGGGTGGCTCAGTCGGATGAGCATCCAACTCTTGGTTATGGCTCAGGTCATGATCTCACTGCTCAAGAGTTTGAATCCCACCTCAGGCTCTGCACTGACAGCGTGGAGCCTGCTTGGGATTCTCTCTCTCTCCCTCTCTCTCCCCGTCCCCGATTGGTGCTGTTTCTCTCTCTCCCTCTCAAAATAAATAAATACACTGTACCCAAAAAAAGCTTTTTATAAAAAAAAAAAAAAAAAAAAAAAAAAAAAAAAAAAAGACAATCTCCTGGTGATTCCCTCAAGGTTCTGTTCTCTACCCCCCTTCGGTGCAGATCACCGCCTTCCCAGACCTTCTAATCGAAGCTGGGCCAGCCCTGTTTCCAGGCAGCGGGGGGAGCCAGCGGCAGGCATATCTCAACACTCCTCAAGTGAGCAGCTCCTCCCAGCCTCCCCACCAGACCCCCTGCCCCATGGTCCTCCTTTTGCCAGCTGCCCTCAGAAGACAGAAGTCACCCCAGGGGACACCAGGTGGGTGGGGTGGCCCTGAGGTTAGCTGAGGTTTAACACCCGCCTGGAGGGCAGGTGCGCCAGGCTGCTCTCCGACCAAGCACCTTCCCTGCGTGGGAAGGGCCCCTCAGCTTTCCACGGCCCCAGACAATGCTGAGAAGCCCACTTTTTGCGAGTCGCTCAAGGTTTGGGACCCTCCTCCGCAGCTCACATTCAAACCACACCGTGCACACCCTGTGCAGTGCGCTGGGCGGCAGGAGACATCCGGCCACACAGCTGAGAGCCCCTACCCTGTGCACCCTCTCTGAAGAGGGAGAAAAGAGGCGCTAAGACCTGGGCCCCCTCCCTCTCTGCTCATCCCTCCCAACAGGGTGAGGAGGGAGGAGAATTAGCTTTCAGCCCTCCTCTGGGCCAGCCTGGACGGCTGGTGTCATCGTCTGCATTCCCCGGGGTGTTCGTCGGGGTGACACTGAACGCTCAAGGTCAGGGTCTGGCCTGCCTCCCGTACTCAGCACTGAGGCCCCCCCCACCCGTGGGTTTGATTTTGACGAGACGAGGCGGCAAATGGGAAAACATCGCGCTCTTCCTCAGGTGGGTCTTGAAGTAGAAACTTGGGACAAGGGTGTTCGAAACCAGAGGCCAGGGGGCTGAGCCGGGCCCCGCAAGCCAACCTGAGCAGCCATAAGGCTGAGACTTGAACCTCCATCGGCCCACTCCCGCGTCTGTGACTCGGCTGGCCCAACCCAGAGGGAGACGATGTGTGAACCCCACCGCTGCTAACTCACCATCGGGACGAATGGCGGCGGCCCTAACTTACCCCCTCCCCGACTCCAGCACTGGCCACGGGGAGGGTACAGGCGTCCAGTGCATACCATGCTCCCAACGCCTTAGGAGAGGGACCCACATAACCCATCACCCAACCGAAAAAGAGAGGCTTCCAGCTCCAGCCCCCCCCCCCACTCCACCCCTCAGGGCCTCAATCTGCTCGGCTACAAAATAGGGGTAAGAATAGCCCTTTCAATGAAATGACTATAAAGCCCGGGAAGTGCACCCCCGTTTACAAAGGTGGGTGCTGAGCACCCCCATTGAGAGAGAGGAGAAGCCAACCAGAAACTGTTTCACAGCTAAAACGGCTCCTGGAGGAGACAGGGCCCGGGGGCTGGGCGGAGGGTATTATCGGGGCCCAGGTGAGTTCACGGGGGTGATGCTGCTCAGCTGGGGCAGGAGGGGAAGCGGGGGGCTGGGAGCTCCGGCTCTCAGAGTCACCAATTGTCTGTCGCCCTGCTCCCTCACGCATGTGGCAGGCAGAGATAAATTAACGGCAATCAACAATAAGACTTCAACTTTCTAATGAACTTGGTGGAGTGCGCCTTCTATTTTTAACTGGCCCAATTTCTCGGTCACATCACATGACTCCTATTGTCTTGGCTGAGAATTATGAGAAATGGAGAGAGAGAGAGAGAGAGAGAGGGAGGAGAAAGTGAAACTGGGCCATATTTTTTAGTTCAGCAAGGTGACAAACTCTCTTAGTTGCATGTGTATTTTCTCTTTCATTTGCAATTTGCTAAGTAGCTTTAGAGAAAAACAGTGACTTCTTCTTCTACAGTGCTCTATTTAAGGAAACAAAGAGCTAGAAAATGACCTGATTGGGGTCACATAGAAAGTTCTGAACTAAATAAGAAGTTGCTTTGGAGACTGTGTCGGTGATTTAGCTCCATTTAACCTCAGGGGTCTCGGAAGCTTTTTGGGTTTGGAGATGGGGTGGGCTTAGCTCACATTTTTACCATTCGTGTAATATTTCCCGTCATATTGGGCAGCGCCCTGGTGTAGTGGCAAGAATATTGGCTTAAGCTTGGAATGAAACTATTCTCTGCCTTTCTTGACCAGCGTGGGCTGACATGGGAAACTCTGGTGGCATAGATGCGTTCCCTGCGTATTGTCATTCCCTCGATCTCCACGAATGACTCTCCAGGGCAAGTGTCGATATCTTGAAGACAACCTGCAACTCATAGCTCCAGCATCCCTGAGGCTGAAGGGAGGAGATCTCGTTGTTTCTCATCTGTTACCCAGGAAAGAGAACCAAAGTGGTTCCTTAAAATTCATCGGTTTCAACAAGTTAGCTTAACTACACAGATTCTGAATTACTCAACTTCGGAGTCGCCTAAACATTTGAAATCTGAATGCCCTTGTTAGGAAGTTGGAAATCTTAAGAAGCTGCCCCTTTGGCATTATCAGTAGGGCCCTAATTCTGGACCTTCTGTGTTTAAGCCCACGATTCCCGAACTGTGGGTTGAGGTACCCCGAGGCCCACAGCAAACTCAGGGAAGCACTGAAGAGTATTTTGTATCTTGGAGCAGTTCCTGACATCCGTTAGACATCACACAAACCACGTGCTTTGTGGTCGTTCCTTCCTGCAACAGTAGATTGTGCTACATTCCTTTCAACGACATCTTATCCTCGCAAAGCGGGGTTTGGGGGTTCAGCGATAACGGGCAGATGAAGTGTGAAAGTCACTGTGAGACAGGAAACGAAGATGTTAGTGTCCAATCAGATGCCAGGATCAGAGAAGCTGCATGGCACCCAAAAGGCTCACATGCCGTTCGCTGTATTTATTCAAGAATGAGATAAAAATGGTTCTTTTACTTTCAATTTATGGGTATGATTATTTCAGGTGGGTACTAATTTGTTAGGAGATAAATGATTATTAAGTTATCGGCTAGAACTACTTAATAAACAGAACTGTTAGGTATTTCTTTTGGTCTACGGGCACCATGAGCCAAAATGGTTTGGGAAACCCAAGAGCTAGCTTACAACTCCGGAGGTGGCCTTTCAGCTTCTTACTTATAAAGGTCTCTTCAAGTGCAATGGAAACTATTATAAATATTGTGGCAAGTTGTATTTGCCCCCCAAAAGCCCCCAGCAATATTTCTAGTCCCATTCTGTTTTCTAGAAACTTGCCTCTCCTCTCATTATAAGGTTGAGCTTAATTTCCCTTCTCTTTTGAACAAGAGTCAAGTTTTTTATAATTATCTTTTTAATGTTTATTTATTTTTGAGAGAGAGACAGAGACAGAGCATGGGAGACAGAGCATGAGTGGGAGAGGAGCAGAGACACAGAATCTGAAGCAGGCTCCAGGCTCTGAGCTGTCAGCAAAGAGCCCAATGCAAGGCTGAGACTCACAAACCATGAGCTCATGACCCGAGCCAAAGTCAGACACTTAACTGCCTGAGCCACGCAGGCACCCCTGAACATGAGTCAGGTTTAATGACTCCTTTCTAATGAAAGCTACTGAATACAATGTGCAGAAGCCATGCTGGGTGACTCTTAAGGCCAGGTTGAAAAGATGATGAGGCTTCAGCCTGCCTTTCTCTTCGGATGCCCGCCCTGGGAACCCAGCCACCATGCTGTGAGGGAGCCCAAGCAGCCCATGTGGAGAGGAACTGAGACCCCCCTCAGCCAGCATCAGCCGCCCCTACTTATCCAAATCTTGACCAAACAAGCCTTCAGATGATTATAGCCCCAAGCTTGGAGTCTGGCAGCTAAGGCTCCAAACACTATGAAGCAAAAATAAGCCATCCTCTCTGTGCCCTATTAGAATTCCTGACCCAGAGATCAGTGAGCATAATAAATGGTTGTGTTAAGCCTCTGAAATTTGGGGTACTTTGTCACGCAGCATTAGATAACCCAAGCGAGTATGATGGACACGTATGAGATGCCTATCCAGCCCAGGAACTACTAGCTTCCCCAGCTCTTCTCTGGAATTCTCTCCTTATACACTCACCCCATCCATATAACCACAGAGAGGACACCCCCCCACACACACACCTTACTTGCACCAGGTAACTCCACCCCTCTGGCCAAGAGGATTGGACCAGGAGTAACAACCTGACCAAACAAAGTCAATCCCAGTCTTGTCTCAGGAATTTGGAACTGAGAGGGAGATTGGTGCTTCTGTTGTCACTGGTTCCCTTGACGTGTAACTTCAGGAGTTTCGGGGCAGCCATCTTGGACGCCACATAGACTGGCAAGCAGAGACAGAAGAAGAAACAGACACACAGGGCAAAGCAGAGGTAAGAGGGAGAAAGTGTGCTGCCCCAGGTCTCGGAAGGACTTGCAGTTCTGGACTCCAGTTCTTCCTGAGGCTCCAGAGAGCAACCTCCAAGCCATTTCTTTAAAATAAATTCCCCGTGTTTTGCTTACATTTGCTAGGATTTGTTTCTGCAGCCTCAGGGTATTTTTCACATCTACCCAGCACTTTACAGCCCACTGAGGCTCTTTATCTGCATAATCTCATACAATCCTGACCAGAACTCTGTAAGAAGTATATGTTACCCCCCCCCCCCCCTCATCGAGAAGAAGAAACAGAGGTCCAGAGGAAGCTACGGGGGTAAGGCTCACAGGTGGAAACAGACATTAAACCAGAACTACAACCTGTCTTCTGTCTCCAAATGCCAAGCTGTGTTTGGGGGATATTTCTTCCTCCTGCTCTGTAGAAGTGGGGAGGTGACATCTGGTTTGTCTCCAAAACCAACCATATGTCCACAGTGTTTTCCTGCTGCTTCACAAGACTCAGGGATGCCCAGCATTCAGGCCAGTCCTTGGGAAACCAGACCCTCAGCCAAGGATACAGGGTGCCCAGCGCCCAGTGCCCGGCACCCAGAGAGCTCAGTACACAAAAGGAGCCCAGTGGGCACTGTAGATGCTCCAGACAAGCGACTCCTCCAGTCTGAAGTGGCCGGAGACGCTGCTCAAAGGAAATGGCATGGGAAGTTCAGGAGCACTTGGATACGTCCAAGGTGAGGGTGAGGGGGGGGAGGGAGATCATACTCCAAAATTGCCTTTTTCTTTCCAGGACCTTCTCAGGTTCTTCAGTAACAAGAAACCTGAACCTTTGAATCCTCAAGGCCTTCAACTCTCCCTGAGAAAGTCTGCTGAAGAAAGCATCTAGTCCAGCCTCCAACCGATGAATGAGACCCCTCTGCCGAATCCAAGCAACGCTCTAATCTCCTGCTGTCAAACAAGGGACGGGGCCACGGGGGGTGGGAAGCACATGAGCAGAGAACGACCTGGGTTCAAGCCCTGATTCTGCCACATATTCCTGCTGGTCCCTACATAAGTCGCTTAAGATGTCTCAACCTCAATTTCCTCATCTCTCCCCTTCAACTGAGATGTTGTTTGTTCAACCCAGAAAAAAGGTAGGTGAAGTGTCTGACATCCGTCATAGTAAACGCTCAGCAAAGTCTAACATTTAAATGACCTCGTCTGACAGCCCATCCAATCTTTGTTTGGTCCTTATTGTTAGAAATGCTTTCTTCTATGTGGATGAGCTAAGCTCTGCCTGCCCGGAATGCCCACCGCTGACCCTGCCTCTGCCTCCAGAGCCCTCCGAAGGACAGCCTTCAAGCCCCCAACCTTCCTGCACACACCACTGCTTCCTGCCTCCACCCTCAGACCGGTCCCTTCCCTGGTCCCCACAGTCAGACTGTGGAAGCTGCAGACTGCCTGTGTGTTCCTGGGGGAGCCTGCGCACATTGAAAGCCTTGTTTGCATGGAAACTTCCTCACTGAGTCGGGTCAGCAGCTTCTGTCAACACAGCCCTCAGATAAGATGCTGTAACTCAGAATGTTTGGCTCAATAGACATCTGCTACGCCCGAATCATACGTCCCGTGCTAGCGGCCTCCAAAAGGCAATTTCAGATTCCCCCGTCCTTCTCCCCCCTTCTCTCCCATGCCCGGCCTCCCCACTGCACAAATAGAAGCCAAAGGGAAAGGTCCAATTATTCCATGGAGATTTAGCTACCGTATTGACAAAACTCAGCGTTAATTCCCAGAAAGCATTCAAGCCCCGGGGTGGGGGCAGGGTGGGGGCAGGGAGAGCCCGCTGGATAACTGGGTGAGAGTCATAGCCGCTTTTCAGCCGAATCTGACCTAGTTTAATGAAATCAGGTCATCTGTGAGCTCTTCATTACCCTCAGACTAAACAGGACCCAACAGAGCAGCCAATGTCCCTGGCCTTTCTGATTTCTGCTCATTCGCATTATGACATTTTGATGTTGGGTCTTAATGCGTGTTGACTTAGTGGCTGGGCCCCTGCAAAGGTAGTAAACAGGCAGGAAAGTAAACAAGAGGGCTGATGTTAAAAGCACACACACACAAAGGCAGTGTACATACCCCAGGTCCCCAGCCTGCATCCTCAGGGAAGCCAGCAGACAAAAGGCGTCACGAGTGTCTGTGACTATTATCGCTGATGGACGGACGGGACTCACCTATTATCCTGCCGGCTCTTTAGCTGGAACTCGCGGCTTCAGCAGATCTTCGGGGCAGGGGGTGGGCTGGGAGGGAAATGAAATTGTCAGTCTAGGGATGGTAGATTGGATTCAAGGGCAAATTGCCCTCTGGCAACACCTGCAGAGGACAGGGACAGTCACTCTTCTTGAGACTGTCCTGTGGGCTGGTGATGGCTTTATTTCATCTGCTGTCCCGATCTACGTTTTCCGGAAACCGAAGCCTGTGGCCTGGGAGTCTGCAAAGGAACCGTCTTCTCTCGGTGGATGCTTATTAATGGGATGACTATTTACGGAAGTAAATGCTATGTGTGACTTCCCGGTCCCTATCAGAATCGTCACAGCCTGTCAACCTCAGAAAGGGCAGGATGCTCCATCCCTGATACGCACAGCAAGCGCTTCAGTACAGAGGTGGCCCAAGGACTGAGGGTTCGGGGTGTGGTCACAGTTTTAACTGAAGATGAACTTAACGGGCACAGACTGGCTCAGGCGGACGGCCAAGGGAGGCAGGAGGGAATTCGCGCACACACTGGCTATTCTCTGGAGTCCGTAGTAGTCCGGGGTGGGGTTGAGAGTCTCACATGGTGATGAATTTGGTCTGGGTTCTGGCTGTTGCCTGTTGAGCAATGGCTCCCGGTGGGAAAACGCCGTCCCCTCACCCTCCCTTCCCGAAGGCTCCTTGCCTTCGGGGAAACACTCCTCTGTCAGTTACCTCATTGACGTGCCCAGCCCCTGTGGAGAGAGGCCTGAGGGCTCACAGTGCAGCCTGGAAGAAGTGAAATACTGTGACCTAAGGGTGACCTGAGCAAGGAGTGTCACTTGTCTGGCTTTTAGTTTTTCCATGTGCTTCCCCACAACATTTCTAAGGCTCTTCTATGAAGTTCGTTCTGATTCTACAGAGTCCTAAAACCATTCTCTGCCTCGGTTCCCCGGGCCCCCATACTCCTTTTCAGAGCAGGTGTGCCCTGGAGAAGCCATCTCTGTGGTCTTTTGGGCTCCACCACTGGCCTCGGCTGCCTTAATGCCAGGCTCGGACGCTGACCTGCTCCCTCCCAGGGCCACCACTTGAGAGTAGTGCTTGCCCTGGGTCTATTGTTTCCTTTGGCGATTGGTAGACACAGTTGGCCGCAGAAGAAAACCAGTTTCTTTCCCAAAAGCAAGGGATTAAAAGCTGGTCCACTCCATGACTCTACAGAGCCGAAGGGATGGAAGGCGTTGGGTCTGCCCCTGTGCCTGGCCTGACAACCAGAGTTAGACTGTCCAGAGAAGCACGATCCTGCCGTCAGAATGACGGCTGAGATTCTGGCTTTAACCCCTCTGTACTATCTAATGGGGAAAATGGCAGGATCGGGTTTCCTGTTTTATTGGCATTCGATAATATATATTCAGTGACCATGTCTGCAGTGAGGCAATTGGTTTAAAAGGGGGTTATAAGGATTGACTTGTATTTAAGTGCTTAGAATTCCAGAATGGTAATTATCTCGATGTGCATCCTAATTTATAGGAACTCCGAAGAGCTCAACAGCATATAAATTTGAGCCTGTCTAAATGAGTCTCTGAAAGAACATCTATAATCAGAGAGGCAGAAAAAACACTTTGCCCAAAGAAAGGCTAGAGAAGTTTAGTCCAGTGGTTCTCAAACATTTAACCACAGAATCTTGTGGTTGAGATAAAAGCTTCCATGAAAACCAAATACATAAAACAGACCCAAGGGGTCTGCTCAGGTAGAAGCAGAGGAAGGGCCCAGAGCCCTGCCTCCTTTTCCCTCTTTCAGCCCCTTCCCCAGGCCATCAAGGCTCAAGGCACCCATGGAACGTCTGGGGCTCTGACGAATGCGTTGAGAAGCAACGACCTACTACAAGCTCCTCAGTTTATAGATGAGGACCCCTAGGTCTAGAAAGATGAAACGAATTGTCAAAATCGGACTGCAAGTCAGAGACAGGAGAGGAAGTAGATTTCCGGGACTGCGAGCAATGCTCACTCACCATTACGTTAAGTGCCCACTTTTCAATGCTGCCCCAACCAATCTTCATTATTTACTTGCATTCAGGAGTTAACTTTAAAAGTGTCTTTTTCAGAGACGCCTGGGTGTCTCAGTTGGTGGAGTGTCCGACTTCAGCTCAGGTCATGATCTCGTGGTTCATGAGTTCAAGCCCCATGTCAGACCGTGCTGACAGCTCAGGACTCGGAGCTGGCTTCAAATTCTGTGTCTCCCTCTGCTGCTCGCCCACTCACGCTCTGTCTCTTTCTCTCTCTCTCTCTCTCTCTCTCAAAAATCAATAAACATTAAAAAAATGAAAGCGCCTTTTCCAGAACTGAAACAAAGTTTTATCAATAAGATGAATAGGCATAACAATGCTGGTGGAGGAAAGGCAGCTGACCCAGAATCAGCAAGTGGTGGTACATTACCTTAGATAAGTCTTTTTCTTTCTGGAAACTATTCTTTTCATCTGGAGACGCTAAACTCAGTGACTTCGAAGCTCATACAGACTTTAAGGCTAAATAGCATGGATTTAGATCTTCAAGGTCATCTCTTCTTTATTCTCCTATAAATGATTCCTTTGAATTAGATGACATAGCTAAAGTAGAAAACTCAATAGAAAGATCAGAAAACACAATTATGGAATCTTTGAACTGTTTTGTTGTGTGTGTGTGTGTGTATATATATATATATATATATATACATGGATGTGTATATGAAAATATGGGAAATGAAATATATAGCCAATGAAATGTGAGTATATATCCAAAAGAATTGGAAAATAAGACATAAAAGATGAAATGTTGGGATCAACCCACCATATTCAACATCTGACTAATGCTATTTACAGAAAGAAAAAACAGGAGAAAATTATTACAGACATAATTATTTTATTTATTTACTTATTTATTATTTATTTATTTATTTATTTATTTTAATGTTTATTTATCTTTGAGACAGAGAGAGAGCACAAGTAGGAGAGGGGCAGAGAGAGAGAGGGAGACACAGAATCCGAAGCAGGCTCCAGGCTCTGAACTGTCAGCACAGAGCCCAATGCAGGGCTCGAACACACGAACCGTGAGATCATGACCTAAGCTGAAGTTGGACACTCAACCAACTGAGCCACCAAGGTGCCCCAGATGTAATTATTTTAAAGAAAAATTCCTAGAAGGGAAGGGCATGATGAGCTCCAGGATCAAAAGTATACAAGAAAAAAAAAAAAAAAAAGATGAATCTTCAGTGTAAAGTTTCAAAATACTGAGATAAGGAAAGATCTTAAAACTTCCACTAGCTAAATAGGAAAAAAAAAAAAGCTTCCAGGGAAGAACATTAAATTCTATCCAAAGATTGGGGATGAGAATGGCATCAGACTTCTCAATAGCAATATAAAATATTAGAAAACAAACAATGCTTTCAGGGGCACCTGGGTGGCTTAGTCAGTTAAGCGTCCGACTTTGGCTCAGGTCATGATCTCGCAGCTCCTGAGTTCCAGCCCTTCTTCGGGCTCTGTGTTGACAGATTGGAGCCTGGAGCCTGCTTCACATTCTGTGCGTCCCTCTCTCTCTCTGCTCCGTCCCACTAGCCCTCTGTCTCTCAAAAATACATGTTAAAAAATTTTTTAAAAACAGAAAGAATGCTTTCATATTTCTGAGAGAAAGTGATTTTCAACATAGATCTCTATACCCAGCCAAACTAGCTAAATAATGTAATGATCGAATACAGACAATTTTTGTTACACAAGAATTCAAAAATTTTACATCCCATACACCATTTCCTAGAAAGCTGGCATGGGTTATGCCACATCAAAACAGGGGATTAAACAACAGAACAGATCGGTAGATAGATAATGAGAGAGAGAGAGAGAAAGTGAGAGAAAGGTGAGTGATCAGCTGAACAAATGAATAGGAGCAGATCAGCCAACACAGAAAGGCAGCAATGATAAGTCACACATCGCAGGCAAAATAGGCTAGGGTGTGCTGGGGCTTACAACTACACAGTTTTATTTCTTGCTACATGTCCATCGTGGGTTGGTTAGAGCTCTACTTCGTGTCATCTCTGCTCCAGATCTAAGTGGAACATCCTCTATCTGAAATGTTGACAGCCATCCTGGCAGGGGATAAAAGAGGCCACAGCAAGCCATACTCTGGCTCTAAGATTTCTTCTCAGAAGTGATACACGTGTGCACACATGCACACACACACACACACACACACACACACACACACACCCCTTCCACTCACATTTCATTGGCCAAAGCAGGTCACAGGACCAAACCTGATATATGGGACTCAGAGATCTAATCTTCTCCAAGAAGGGGCAGTGAATATGTTTTAACATACAGTCTACCTCATCCCAGAATGACAGCTGCATATCAGGCTTAAAACTCAGTCCAAATTAGAACACAAGACAAAGGGCAATGAGAGTGTTCCAGAGGTGGGGAAATGCAACTGATAAATGGTCTGCTTCATACAAGCACTTGCAAAACACAATTGATAAACCTTAATGATTTTAAGAAATTAAAAATAGGTACATAGTCTTATGCAGAGAATTACTAGCTCCAGAAAAACACAAAAAATTATTGCAAAAGAAGAGCGTTCATAATATACTACTGGCTCTTCAGGGAGCAACGTTTTCATAGTAAAAAAGTGAATACTGACTATTGATTTAACTACAGATTACAAAGTAATTATATTGGGAGGATAGAAAGAGAGGAAGTGAAGGCTATAGTTATAAGAGATTTAAATCCTCAACTCTACTAAAGTAACCTCAAGGCTAAACATATTCTTCCTGGATTCTGATTCTGTAATATCTCACTCTGGATGTGCTCCATCAAGAATCAGTAACGCATAGTAATCAACCAGTGGTGTGCCGGCAGTCAATATGGATAATGCCTAGCATTAATAAATTTAAAAATAGCAATATAAGCACATAGAAGACGGAAATAAATCATGTAAAGACCAACGTAAAGTGTTGAAACTGGTTGCTTTTAAGGAACAAAATCAGAAAGTGAGAGGCAGAACAAGGGATTTTTGTTGTTGTTAGAACAATGTACATTTTACGTTAACAAAAATACAGGTAAAACACAAAAATAAAATATAGCTGCTACCTCTGATTCATTTTCGAAGTCAGCAGGGTATACATCATAAATAAATAATAAAATACTTACACTTAAATGATTAATTTTCAAGGCATCCAGACATAATAAATTGAACCTGACGTTATAACCATCTTGGCAGTAATGGAATCTTTCTTTGATGATTCAGGAGGCACTTTAAGGACCTGGCAATGACCTAAGGTCATTTCTCTGGGCATCTTTCCTCATTCTGTCCTGATTTGTTAGTCTTGTAGGAATTGATTTCATGTTGGCCGTTCCAAAATTCCGAAGAGTCTCTTTGGTAAATGCAAAACCCCTTTGAAGGCTCTACGAACTCTGCTGGAAATGTCTGTGGCTTTCCCTTTGCTCCATGGCTGAGTGGGGAAGAGTGGAGGGCTTCTGGCCAGTCACAGGGCCAAGCTATGCGAACCCAGCTGCAGAAATCAAACGGAGAGGAGACAACCTGGCTTCCTCAGAGGGAGAAAGTACTGAAATACCCAAAGTCACTCAGGAATTTGGAAACCATGGGCCCGTGGTGCCCAAACATCACCGTGTGGTAAGTACAGCCAAGCTCTTCAAACTGGGAAATTTCTTGGGAGTTGTTTTGTCTGCTCCCAAAAAGCTGGGCCGATGTGCATAGCTTTCAACAGATCTTACCTGGAAAACAAAATACGGTCAATCTCTCACGTAAGTTCACTGTATGATACATCCATGTGATAATACCTTACACAGATATTAAAAATCACATTACAGAAAAATCCCTACCACCATGGTAAAATATTCATAATGTGCTAAGTTTAAAAAGCAGAAATAAATTGATAACTAATATAAGGAGCTAATATCGAAAATGTACGAGGGACTCCTACAACTCGGTAGCAAACAAAAATGAGCATCAGATCCGAATCGACATTTTTCCCAAAGAAGACATACAGATGGCCAACAGGTACATGAAAGAATGCTCAGCATTATTAGTCATGAGGAAGGTACAAATCAAAACCACAACAGATATCACCTTACACCTGTTAGAATGGCCATTGTCAAAAGGACAAGAAATGACAAGTGTTTGTAAGGATATGGGAAAAAGAGAACCTTCGGGCACTGTGGGTGGGAATGTAAATTGGTGTAGCCACTATGAATAACAGTACGGAAGTTCCTCAAAAATTAAAAGTAAAACTACTATATGATTCAGCAATGCCACTTCTGGATATTTATCCAAAGAAAACAAACAAACAAAAACGAATTTGAAAAGAGACATGCACCCTATGTTCACTGCAGCATTATTTACAATAGTCAAGACATGGAATCAAACTGAGTGTCCTTCGATGGATGAATGGATAAAGAAGATGTGGTAATGGGGTGCCTGGGTGGTTCAGTCAGTTAAGCTCTTGTTTTCAGCTCAGGTCATGATTCTCACAGTTCGTGAGTTTGAGCCCCGCGTCGGGCTCTGTGCTGGGGGTGCTGGGCCTGCCTGGAATTCTCTCTTCCTCCCTCTGTCTCTACCCCACCCAAGCTCATGTTTGTGTGCTCTCTCCTTCTCTTAAAATAAATAAATAAACATTAAAAAAATAAAAAATAAAAAAACAAGCTCTTAGGTCTGAAGAACAGATTGGTGGTTGCCACAGTCAGGGGGT